TACAGAAATATTGAATACAAAGTCTAAAGAGGTTATAATTTCATTGTACAGGTCAATGGTTAGGCCACAATTGGAATATGGTGTTCAGTCTGGCTTCCTACTTAGGAAAGACATTGAATTGTTGAAAAGGATGCAGAGAAGGGTTACTATAATGGTGCCTGAGATGGAGGGGATTATCGTATGAGGAGAGGCTGAAATCTCTCAACTTGTTTTCTCTTGAAAAAATAAGTGTTAGGTGGGGATCTGATTCAAGTGTTTAAGAAAGTAAATGGAATAGATAGTGTTAATGCATCATCTTTTTTCATATTCAACAGTGACAATAGTAGGACAAGGGAATGCAAATATAAATTTTGGCAAGGTAGGAGTTATCTTCAGCTAATACAGTTTTATTTTTCTAACAAGGTCGTTCACCTTTGGAATGAGTTGCCTTCAGATGTTCTAGAGGCAGTAAATTTAAGTGAGTTTAAGAAAAAGCTTGATAAGTATATGAATGATAAGGGCTGGATTTAAGATTTTTTATTATTTTAATTTAGTTTAGAGGATGGAACAGTCGAGATGGACAAATAGGTTTCATGTTGTCCCAAAATGTTATTTCTCCATACGTTAATATTATTCATGTAGTAATATGGCCACACAGAACTATTATTTCAATATCTCCAAAATTCCCTCATATATGAAATATTTGTTGACATTTACCAGCAAGCAATTACCATGTACTAATTGTACTGTTTATTAGAAAACATAACTCATTAAAAATACCTACATCAAAGGAATACTAAGTAGACTATTGAAGAAGATCACATCATACTTCATTATTAATATTTGGTTGCTGACAATTTTCAAATCATTTATTCATATAATATGAATACACATGTACAAGTTTGAAATTGATGGAATTTATTGGGACTACATTTTATCCTGCCTTGACATAGGTGTCACACAGTATCAAGTTACCATGTAAAACAATAATTTGATATCAATCACTGACATTTTGTTAACACTGTTCCAATGGAAGGGTCTTGTAAAGCAAAAGGTCAATTTTTAATTGTTTTCCATTAACCCTTTCCAGATGGGTCATGGGTGAAAGGCCATGTCATTGTATTTGTTGACTTGCATTCAAAATTTTATTGAATTACTATTTCATGAATTCATGTCAATAAGTTTGGTATCAAAATTTAGATAATTCAAATTTTAGTATTATACATTATTCAATTTCTTAATTTAAAAGTAAATATTAAAAAAACAATTAAACATTGATTTTTGTGTGTCACATAGCTATAATATAAAATAAGAACCTCGTATCTTTTCTGTTTGCTGAGATATTGGTCATGTACTGAATCCCACACAGTGGCCCCACTCACCTCTTTTCATTTTTAGAAATCGTCCTTTATACAGGAATCCTCGATTAGTGTGGTTAACGTGTTCTTTAAAATA